AAGTCTACCTTGAGTCCAAGGTCTTTGTGCTCCTAGATGCACACCTTTCTTCCTTTACATTATTAAAGTTCAAGCTAAGCTTTGGTCTTACAGATGAGGAGGGATTTAGCTCACTTGCAGGGCAGATTAATGGAATATTAAACAGTTGTGGCCCACCCCTTCAGCTGTGCTTGTGGAGGACTCTAAGGCCATGTTCTCTCTGAGAACCGCCTCCTGGAACTAATCGGCTTCATAGTATTAATGCACTTTAAAGCATATGCTTAAAGTAATAACTAGGCTTCTGTTCAAGGGAAGAAGGCCATTTTGCCACAGAAACATGGTCAAATTTTATGTCATACACTGATTTTTATCTTTAGCTTCTTTGAAGTCTTGGAAGTAGCCTTTGGCTTGACGCTGCCAGTTGTGACCCATACAGGTTGGTGCTTTGCACCCTCTGGGGTAAACTCATACTAGAGGGGGAAGCTTTTAGTGATCCTGGACCTGTTTGCTTGACATGGGAATCAAATTTTTATAAGGTTGTGTCTGCTGGGATCATGGTGATTTATTTTATAACCTTGCACTTCAAAGGATCTAGTGGTGGGGCAAAATCAGGGCATGACTTAAAGCAAAATGTGGCTTCTGAACTCCTGGATAAGGTTACAGATTTTTTTAAAAATGTAGCACTTGAAGACAATTTAGACTTTAGGAGGTCACTAGGCTCTAAAATTAGTCAAGCGCTCAGGAAGGAAGAATATAGGTTGGCTAAATTGCTTGAGTCCCATTTTCTTTCTTTCTTTCTTTCTTTTTTTTTTTTTTGATTTTTACATAAAAGCACATTTACGTATGGTGCATTCACTAGGTTGCTTGTCTATATGGTGAAACAATCCTGCTTAAAAACATTGAGTAGCATTTAGCAATCAAACAAGGTCTATGACAGGGAGTTGATCTTACAGTGTTCATTAGGGACCCTACAGTATTTTCCTATAATCCAGATTTATTTCCAGTTTTGATCCTGATCAGTGGTTGCTCGGGCAACTTTGACATATTATTAGAAATGTCCTTATTTTACACAATAAAATATTGTATGAAGCCATTCAATCTGTAAGTATATTTGAACTGATTCTAACCCAGGGATAGGATCTGTGCCTTATGTGGGTCAGGTAGTAACTGGATGATTCTACTAATGAACTCTGTTTAATAGATAGGCACCTACTACCGTAAACTCTGTGGCTGTGCTTTCTTTTCATGAGAGAATTGGAAACATTTTGCGTTATTAATTAACATAACATTTCAAGGGCCCTTCAGGCTTAAAAGACAAAGATCTTTGGGGGGCAAGGTCTGGCCTTTCACTGATTCCCCCTTAACAGCCCTAGTCACTTGCTCTGCCCTTTTATGACACAGTTTTCAATGTTAAAGAAAGATGAGTCTGTCCCTTGAAAGCCTTTGCTGACCATTCTGGGACAGAATCTTAGTAACCTTTTTTTCTCTCTAGGACCTAGCCAAAATCTTGTGATCAAATAGAAATGGTTAATAAGAAAATTTTACTGTTGGTTTTAAAAAATGTTACACCTGGCATGTGGTAGATAATCAATGAGGGTGTGTTGAATTAAATATTTCAGTGCATCCAAAGTAAAACTTGCCATTTGGAAGGCGATAGAATTAGGTGTCCGATCATTTTGGCTTCTTGCTGCCCTCTTGTCAGACTCTTGATTTGGAAGCTTTTGTTAAGCACGTAAAATGCAAGACTGCAGATACCTTTGTGCCCTGAAATCTACTTCTCTGGAATACTTTGCTTCTCAGCATCTCCCATGAATACATATTCTTTGTCACAGCACTTATTTTCCTCCCACTGAAACCTTTGTGCTGGCTCTATCTCTTCTCTGGCACAAAGAAAACAAAACCATTTCCGGGGAATGAAAGGCTGGACTCGCTGATGTGATGTATTGCTCTCTTTACGAAGACCAGCTACAAAATAGTGGTGTCAAAGAGCAGAGATGCTGACAATAAAAATGCCAGCCCAGGATATTTTCTGGACAGAGTCCTTGCAAAGCAATAACTAAATTACAAGGGACTATTAAGAACAAAAAGGAAGGATGTCACACCTGCCATCAGTCTAACTCAAATGCACCAGGAAGAGTCAGCAACATCTTTAGCATCTTTTCCTTACTCTTGGCAAAGCAGAATGAAGTTGAGGTGCTTAAGTCATAAGTAGAAGAGGAAAATCAAACAATAGTTGGGGAGGTAAAAGTAAGCAACGGGGACCAACGGCAAAAAGAAAAGGTGAATTTGGGAGAGGGTGGAAGATGCTGGGAAGGATTTCCTCAATGTTTAACCCATTTGCTGCCAAACCCTAGTCATCAAATAGAAATGATGGATGAGAAAATGTTACCGTTGATTTTTAAGAATGTTATATGGACAATTCATAGCCCTCTAAGTGCAGCCGGTTAGACATGGCTGTCTAAATGCAACACAAACACGCCACCCTGGTACCTCAATAACGATGTCCCTAAAGTCCGCACAATGGGTTTCTGTTTTCGGTGAAAGAGGGGTTATAAAAAAGTCCTTTTGGTATTTTTTTTCTTTTTTTTCTTTTCTTTTTCTTGCGGTACTCAGGCCTCTCACCGCTGTGGCCTCTCCCGTTGCGGAGCACAGGCTCTGGACGCGCAGGCTCAGCGGCCATGGCTCATGGGCCCAGCCGCTCCGCGGCATGTGGGATCTTCCCCGACCGGGGCATGAACCCGCGTCCCCTGCATCGGCAGGCGGACTCCCAACCACCTCGCCACCAGGGAAGCCCCCTTTTGGTATTTTAATGACAAACACTTGTGAATGGAATCCAGCACAGCTCACCTGATATTGAATTTCTCAACAGATTAGGCAACATTATGTTTTTTGTAGTGCTGTTTTCTGTAGCTCTTGAATGCCCCCCGCCTTTCCTCCCTAGTTGGAATTAATCGCCTCCTCTTTTGTGCTTAGGTAGGATTTGTTTGTTTTAGCATTCGTGACATTTTGGCTCTTCTCCTGGTACGTACATGCCTGTGCGTCTGCCTCATACACTAAACCGAAAGTTCAGAAGGTTCTTTCTTTTCATCTTGTACATCGGGCACCTAGCACAGCCCTTAGGATATAGGATTCACTCAAGAGAATCTGCAAAATTAAAAGGTAAGTAGAGAATGCGATTTAGAAAGACTATTTCAATGAGATTGACGGTTCATCTGAATTATCGGGCTACAGAAGGTGTAAACGGAAGACCTATTAAAGTGTGCAGATGGAGTGCCATGTATTTCAAATATTTTAATGTGTTGGCCAAGTAGAAGCACATTGATAGTAAAATGGGTTAGAGTCCCATCAAAAGGAGTGCTCTGGCTACCTGAAGACAGGTGAAAATATCCCCATGTTCTGCTGTTCTAACTGGACTACAGTCAAATCAAGCATCTACACAAGTGGTCAATGCTTTCCAAGTCTACCAGCCAGGCTTGGGGATATCCCAGATATAGTATAAGGACAGTGCTTCCAGGCTTGTTCCTCAAATGCAACTTTGAAGAATACATGGGATGTTGCATACTCCTCACTGCACTGATAGTAAAATGCAAGCAGCTTATATATACATTTTACCAAGAAGCGGCTTGGTTAAATACCCTGACAGGTAAAGAGGAGGGACTCAGAGCATTGTCCTGCACAGGGCTTTGTATATGAAAGAACTCATTGGCCTCACACTGCACAGCCAGGGCAGGTAGGACTGTTGGCCAGAAGCTGGAAGAGCCGTGTCGCACAGAATCTACAGAGCCAGACATGGGAATAACGGTGCTGCTGACAAAGGCTCCCATCTGGTCCAAGATCTCATCTTCCATTCTTTCTTTTTTTTTTTCTTAGTTAAAATGAAACTCTTACACCAAGCATCAGCTCCAATTTCTAACTCAACGAAGTGTGTGTTTTCTGCCTCACAACGCTTTCCCAGGACCATAAGCCCTTAATTTCCATTTCCCGGCAATAAAATAGCTCTCATTTCCAGAACCAATCTGGAAGGTCTTTTTAAAGGATACCCCGAGAAAACCATAATTTGAAAAGAGTCATGTACCACAATGTTCATTGCAGCTCTATTTACAATAGACAGGACATGGAAGCAACCTAAGTGTCCATCGACAGATGAATGGATAAAGAAGATGTGGCACATATATACAATGGAACATTACTCAGCCATAAAAAGAAATGAAACTGAGTTACTTGTAGTGAAGTGGATGGACCTAGAGTCTGTCATACAGAGTGAAGTAAGTCAGAAAGAGAAAAACAAATACCGTATGCTAACACATATATATGGAATCTAAAAAAAAAACGTTCTGAAGAATCTAGGGGCAGGACAGGAATAAAGACGCAGACGCAGAGAATAGACTTGAGGACATGGGGAGGGGAAGGGTAAGCTGGGACGAAGTGAGAGAGTGGCATGGACACGTATACACTACCAAACGTAAAATAGATAGCTAGCGGGAAGCAGCCACATAGCACAGGGAGATCAGCTCGGTGCTTTGTGACCACCTAGAGGGGTGGGATAGGGAGGGTGGGGGGGAGACGCAAGAGGGAAGGGATATGGGGATATATGTATATGTATAGCTGATTCACTTTGCGATACAGCAGAAACTAACACACCATTGTAAAGCAATCATACTCCGATAAAGATGTTAAAAATAAAATAAAATAAAATAAATTAAAGGAGGCCGTAATTGGTGGCCTTGCTGTGGCGGCTCAACATTAAAGAGAGGGGTTGGCAAACCCTCGTGAAAGTCATTCTCTTTGCCTGCCTTGCTGGAGATGTGAAAGAGGTTGGCTTTCACTCAATTTCTGAGTCGTAACATTTGCATGATTTGCATGTGAGGCCCCGCAGTCCTGCTGACGGCACATCACAGGTCACAGAACCAGGCGGCGCGGGGAACCTGGCGCAGAGAGGGTAAGGCACTCCGCGGGGCCGATTCCCTCCCAGCCAGCCATCTGTCCTGCTTTGCGGAGGAGACGGCCGAGCCTCCACTCACCTCTCAGCCTCTTCAGCCTCTGCTCCCGTCTCCTCCTCCGAACCACCAGCAGGAGTACGAACAGCAGCAGCAAGCCCACCAGGATACAGGAGATGGTCACCAGCATCTTGAGCCCTTCATTGGTCGTCAGCCCTTCATCACTTTGGACAACTGACTTAATGAGTGGAGGGATTGTACCTGAAAGCAGGGTCATGATGTTAGGTGGCAGTTAATGACGACAGCATGGCGGAGTTTTTAGGGATGACGGGTTACCAGAACCGCGCGAGTGATCGAGGGGGTCCGCAGTGATGGGGATGAGAGGAACACTTCCTCTAGGTCCTCGTTCATTCCTTTCCTGGCTCACTCCCCTCCTACGCTTACTCTATGGAACGTCGAACCAGAGTGTGCGCGAAGGGCAGAGCACATTGTTTTTTGGAAAGGGACTTCATTTGGCAACGTACAGCTGGGTGCAGACACTTGAAAGCATAAGGTCCAGGCTCGGCACTTAAAAAAGCCACACACACTTCCGTGGAGTTGAGTGTCACCCAGAGCACAATTAAGAGGGGCTGTTTGAAAAACTGCACATCAAAGAAGGAACAATGGGTTTGGCAAGTGGACAGAAGGGAGTCTGTGGGGAGACGGTACCAGATGAGCCTGCTTAAAGGAGCTTAAAATCTCTTTTTGTTTCGTTATTCACTTGCTTTTTATCACGGGTGTAAGGCCAAATTTACTTTTAAAACTATTTCCGGGTGTAAGAGTAAAACCAACTCTTCAAAGGGGAGCCATCCAAGTCTCTAAAGCAAAAGCTACTTATTGGCCCATATAAAGCTCTGAAATTCAGATTATTTAGAATTACAAGGAAACACCTAAGTAGACTGAACTCGGAGCTGCCTTAAGCTGCCTTCTTCTCAGAGGCTTAATACAATGGGTGCAGAGATTCAAACACAGGCATCCACATTATATGGGGCCTGCATTTTGGCACCGACCATTATGTAAGATGCTCCAGTCCACTGTATCTTCCATGTAAAACAAGGACCAGGAAGTCAGTGATTTAGGAAAAATAATGCAAAAATAGTGCAATTTCCCTCTGAACAAAAAGAGTCTTGTCCTGCATTTAGTGAGTAGAGCAGGGACAGTAGAATGACGGGCCCCTTTGCTATCTGCTAAGGCCAAGAAGATCATTCTTCCAACTTTATATAGAGTGTTTTGGCTGCAAACCCAAGTCTGCAAATGCTCAGAACCCACATAAGAGGCACATAAGGGGATGCAGGTGAGGATGGGGCTGCAAAACCAAGATGACCCAGGACCAGTGGAAACATTTGGCTGAGGAAATGGCAGAAGAAAGTCAAATAAAGCCACGGGCGAGTCTGAAATCTGACTGGTATTGATAGATATAAAGCTAATGGTCAACGTTTGTTGTTCCTAAAATGAAAAATATTCTTCAGGCAGAAGTGACCAAAAAGATACTAAAGCTTTATATCCACAAGCTTAGTTAAAAAAAAAAGTAACCTTTTCCAAGGAAAACATACATATGTATTCTTATTTCTAGTGTAATAAGATTATTTCAGATTTCAGAAAATTTTAAATGTAGCTCCCAGGACTTTTTCATGATTTAATCTAAGATCTTGGATAAAGTGAGAATATTTCTTTTAGAAGACAAACATTTAAAATCTGCAGAGCACTTTGTAAGTAAGAATGACAGTTTCAAATGCTGCATGCGAGTGGTTTCTAATTAAATGATCAGCTGTGAACTTATCATGGACGTGCACCTTGAAGCCGTGTGCTCTGGACCACACAGATTATGAAGAAGCTGGGCACCAGAGCGCGATGGTCGTAAGGCAGTTAATGGACATCAATCATCTAAAGTAAGAAATATACTTCCTGCCCAAATGTGTACCCTGCTAGCAAAGGGCTTTGGGGAGCCCTTAAATGCTAGGGAAAATGGTCAGTGTTGAAGTCCTTTATTTTGTCAGATCAAAGAATGAAACCATGTTGGAGGAGAAAGCAAGTTGTCCACACTGCTCTGCGGTGGCTGGTGCTCTGTGACGGGACCTCTTGGAGTGAAGTCGCTTGTGATTGAGGCTAGAAGGTTAGAAAGACGTGGCCCATGAGGATCAGAGGTTTTGAGGAGAAGCCTCACTGTCTGGGAGCTGGACCTGGTGCCTTAGGAGCTGCGGGGCCCAGGCTGGTGTAACCAGCACCAAGACTCCCACCTTGGCACCTTCCTGCCTTCACCCCACCCAGGCCCTAAATGCTGCGGGCGAGCCTGGGGTCTGGCTGAGGAGGGATCTGTGGGGAGACGGCCTTGGTGAGAGACTCAGGGTTGGGTTTACAGTGGTGCCAGGACGAGAGGAACAAGCCCTCGGCCGGCCAGGACAGTCCAGGAGAAAATGGCCAAGGGAGGAGCCATGTCTACAACACCTCTGGAGCATCCTTTGGTCGTGTCCGAGGGTCCTTGGGTTTACGTACACTCTTTTCTTAGAACAGGATAACCTGCACTCCAGGGAAGTTCCTGCCAGAATACTGATTAAGCGAGATCCCAAGTGCACGTAAGCAGAGGAGCGAACACCCCTCAGCCTGTCTAGCGAAGAATAGAGTATTGGGGTGTTAGCTCTGGCGCAGACTTTTTGGGTAAGTCATCAGCACTGTGGTCCGGCCCGACTGGTGGACACTGGACAGGGTCTCTGAGGGAGCTAAGCCCAGAGCTCCAAACTGTCTGATGAATGGCGGCCAGTTTTACCCTGTGATCACAGCACCGAATTCAACCACTGCCTTTCCCTGAGTGAAAATCACTGCAAGGCTGCAGAAATCAGCATCAACTTGCTGCCAGTTAGGACTTTCTGAAGTTTCCTGACTGCAGAAAGGTCAATGTCACGCCACCCTTTAGCTTCACTGGGCTTGGCATTTGTTCAACATCAATAAATGGCCCCTATACTAGTTGGAGCCAAAAAGGATAAAAATTTCTATCACTTGTTTTCAGTCAACTAAACGTCACAAGATACCTCACCTGGTTTTCAGAAAGCCCATGCCAATTGCATGCATGTGTGCATATGTGTGTGTGTGTGTGTGTGTGTGTGTGTCTTCTAACATCCCATGACATTATTCTATTTCCATCAGTGCCTCTATTTCTGCCCAGAGACTAACATAAGCTCCTTTACTGATGGAAGACTGTTTTTGCACATGCAGTTGAAGGGCTAAATGAGAGCAAAAAAGAAAGCTGTTATGTGGATTGGGATGGGGTGGGAGGAGGGGAGGGAGACAACAAAAGCAATGTTAGCTCACAGTCATGACCAAGCACACAACCACGTGGCACAGAAGCCTTCAGCCCCAGGAGAAGTCACTCCTGCCCCGAGACTCCCTAATGAGCTGCGTGCGGGCCCTCCGTCCCTCCTTCCTGGAACACGGCCAAGGTCACGTGGGTACCTGGTCTAGGGAGCCCTGGGGGCAGCAGACTGAAAGGCCCCAAAGCCTAAGGGGATCGGCGGGCACGAGCCCCACTGTGCCGAGGATGGATGTCAGATGCGGGAGGGACGGCGAGCACGCGCACACATCCCGAGACGCGGGAGGGAGGCCAGCCGGCCAGCTTACTGCCGTCGTAGTTGAGCGTGGCGAAGTTGGCCTGCTTCTCGGCACAGCCAGCGCTGTTGCACACCCTCATCTGCAGCTCATACCACGTGGCTTCCTGCAGGTCGTACAGGATGTACGACTTGGAGAGAGAGGTCCGCTGAGCCGTGGTCCAGACCGCGGTCCCGAAGGGTCTGTACTCGAGCGTGAAGGAGGTGATGGGGCAGCCGCCGTCATTCCAGCCGATGAGGTTCAGCCTCACACGTGTGATATTGATGCTGGTGAAAAGTTCCTGCTCCTTCGAGAACTGGGGCTCTGCGGGGGAGGGCGCAGGGCGTCAGCCCGCGGGCACACGAGTGGAGGCCATCCGGCCGCCCCACGTTAACCTTGGGCTGCTTTCCCCACAGGCGAGGGGCTCAGTCCAAGTCTGGGTCACGGGCCGCTTGTCCACTATTTATAGGGATCTTACGGACCCATGTTCCCCAGGTGGGAAAGGGAACTCTGGGTGGGTAGAGGTTGTTTTTGTGAATCTTAGCATTAGTTCCCTGAAGAACAAAGCTATTCTCATGTATGCACTTCCTTGTGTGTTTTTTTTTAGTTGAGAATTATGTTTTATTTGGTAGACAAAACTGAGAACTTAAGCCCAGGATGCAGCCTCCCGGGTAGCTCTGAGGGACTGACCCGCCTTGAGTGGTTTTGAAGGAACCACTGTGATGTGCTGGGCTGACCCGTGTCCATTCAGGGACCTGACTCAAGAGAAGTCAGACTTGGATTTGGGAAGTACCCACAGGCCTCCTTGCTATCCAAGCGGCTCACACTGGAGCCCAGGAACCCAGTGGGTATATTTCTGCATAAATCAACCCCTCATCATCTGAACCCTGGTACATGTTATCCAAAACTCAGGTGCCGCATCCAAATAACGCCTTCACTTTCGAATCTCTCGCTCTCCTGCCATCCCGTCCACACCACTGGATGAGAGTCAGCAGTGAGGAAACCTACGAAGACCCTCTCCCCGCCCCCTCATGTGCACTCACGTGCAGCCATATCCCTCCCTCCTGCTGGTGTTTCTGAGCTGCAAATTTCACCACTGAACGTCACTGCCCTGGGGTTCGCCTCCCTGAAGGTCCATTTTCAGAGTAAAAACCGACTCACACTCAAGGTTCACAGTCTACCCCGGTGACTTCTCACTGGGAAAGTGGGGCCTGTGAGGCGATGTGACAGTTATGGGTGGAAGGGGGTGAGGTGACTAAGGGAGAAGGTCACCCCAGAAGAAGGTGAGAGGGCAAAGGTCACCCCAGAAGAAGGTGAGAGGGCAAAGGTCACCCCAGAAGAAGGTGAGAGGGCAAAGAGCACATTTCACGGCTACTCAGCCCGGGAACTTTCTGTCGGCACCAAAGCCCTTGATTTTCAAATGACACTCTTTTAATATATTTATTTAATATATTTAATATATTTATTATATTAAATTTAATATATTTAATATATTAATATATTTATTTATTTTTATTGGAGTATAGTTGATTTACAATGTTGTGCTAGTTTCAGGTGTACAGCACAATGATTCAGTTATACATATATCAATCTATCTATTATTTTTCAGATTCTTTTCCCTTATAGGGAATTACAAAATATTGAGTAGAGTTCCCGGTGCCCTACAGTAGGGCCTTGCTGATCATCTATTCTGTGTACAGTCATGTGTGTATCTGTTCATCCCAAACTCCTAATTTATCTCTCCTCCTCACTCTTCCCCTTTGGTAACCATAAGTCTGTTTTCTATATCTGCAGACACTCTTCCTTTAAACTGCAAATGAAATAATGAGAAGAGAGAACCAGAATATTCCATATGGACTGGCCATCTCTTTCAATACCCTGTAACACTGCCAAACCCATCTGGGGAATAACAAAGTTCAAACTCACAAACATGTAAATGTATGATGCATCTTTTCTGATTCCAGTCTCCCCTTTGATTTGGAAAATAGGAAATCTAGAAACTAAAGAAGGCTTACATACCTTTTCCTAATGTTTTCGCTTCTATGATTTCACTTATGCGCCCCGGTCCCACTCCATTTTGTGCAGTAAGAGTGAACTTGTACCAAGTCCCACATTTCAGATTTTCCAGGCGGTAAGAACGTTCGCTTGGGCTGATGGGAAAACTTCCCCACTGCTCACTGTTATCCTCAGAGTACTGCAATATGTAACCTTCAGAAAACAAGAAATATTCCAAAGAGCGTTATTTGCTTTCTATCAGAAGTTTGCACTCTGCATGGGATGCGTTCTCAGAATGTGCACATCTTTGGAAGGGAACACCTGAACTCTTGCTGACTCCAGGAAACTGAACCCAGGCTGGGAGTACTGTGATGACATATTGATTATGAGGTATTTAGGCCACGCCAGACGTTACTACGGTGGGATTGCTGGATAGCGTGATGAAGATAAAAGCACTTTCTGCCCATTCCCTTTAAAAGGTGTAACTGGGCAGCAGGAAATGGATACTGAATCTCTAAATATCTGACCTTGCGAGCACACGTGCCGAATGCCTGGGGATGGGCGTGGTCTGAAGCTGGGTTCTTTTTAAGAGAACCAAAGCTCTGGAAAAGGGGTAAGTTATCAGCGGGGGTAGGAATCTCCTCAGCCACGCCCTCCCAGTCCACAATGACTGTGCCAGGCATTATCCACAGCCGGTTACTCACATCACCTCGCATAACCCTGTGGGTTAATAATTATGATCTCCACAGTGCTGACAAAGAGACTGAGGTCCAGAGAGGTTAGGTGACCACTCTAGGGTCTTATAAGCAAGGTTCAAATCCTACTGCCAGAATCTGAAGCCTGCACTCCTGTGATCATGGAGACATCCCTCCCTGTTACGCCTTCATCCCTGTCACCCCAGCCGCCTTCCTGGGGCAAACGTATCCTGTCTGCTCTGTCCTTGTCTCCTAAATGTTCACATCCAGGCAGCCCAGGACTGGCCTGCCTGATGCATGGTGTCCTTACACCAGCACACTGGCATCCTCCCTCCTACCCATGGAATTCCATTTTTGACACCAGTGACGAAAGCACATCTCACCCCCACGCTACAGAGCCTCTGAACCCCAAGCTGGTAGCAGTCAGTGTTTTCCATGTGCCTCTCATGAGATCACCCACCTCTGATGCCCTCCTGCAGCCACGGTCAGTATCATCCCACTGGCTTCCTCCTTCCCTCCCCTCCGGCCCCCTGCAGCCTTGGGGTCCCTCCTCCCTCCTCAGCCTCATTTTCCCTTCTGTGTTCCTAATCTGCAGTCCTGACAGCTCTCTCAGCGCCTGATATGTGAGTGATGCATCTGGGTCAGCTCTCCCGTCCTATCCCGACTTCACCACCTCCCTGGTGCCCTACGCTTTGCGGTGGGGGGGGGGATTGTACTTTCCTTCTCATTTCCTTCATCTAAACCACTTCTAGGAAGCTTTACTAGCTCTTGGAGATGGGAACCCCCGTGTCAATGGCTTTGGCCACCCCTGTGCTTCAAAGACCCCTGGTCGCCTTTGCCTGGAAACCCTTCATTACTAAAGTTGGCTTCAACTCTAAGACCTTCTGCTCTGACACCCTTCCTGTACTGCCTCTCCCATGATCTCACACTTACAGAACCAAGACTTCCTTTCATCTGAGCCCGGAGTCCTAGGGTCCCTTGGACTCCTGCCTCGGTGCCCCATTTTTTTTTTCATAAAATGCTTCTCCACCTAGCCTAGAACCTCTGGTAGAGACCATTTCAATCAGGAGCCTGGTTTCACTCACTCTTTTGACTTCTGACAGCACTTACCCTGCCGGTCACCAGCTTTGCTGACTCGTGATCCACTTTTCTGCTCCACTGTCCAAGATCACTCGAGCAACTCATTAAACCGTGATAACCGTGACCCCTACGCTTTGTGCTGTTCCTCTGCAGCTGGGGCCTTGCTCACGCTTAGCAATGGCTTTGTTTCTTGATTAATGACTCCCTGTGCATTTCCCACAGCAGCTGTTACAAATCTTTCCCTCTCCTCAAGCCCACAAACACATCCTCACCCCTAATCATCCACTTATTCAAAAAAAATAATCTCACCTTTCTCTTCGCTAAAAAAAGAAAGATCTTCCCCTTTGCCCAGTGGAGTGCTAATCAATGTTTAACAACTGGCTCTTGGGAAAAAAAAAAAAAAAGCCCTGATGGGTAGCATTTCTGATTTCTGTGGTGTGTAAATATCCCCAGCCGGGCCGCAGTCATCGAGGGCAAAGTTGGGAAGAGGGGCGGCAACGTGCTCTCATGGGCTGGAGGGAGACGGCTCCAGACACCACTGGCCTCACCCTAAGACGACCCTGTATTTCCTGTTGTCCTCTCGCCTTCCTCCTCTCTCAGAAGAAGGGTGTCCTCTGCCGGCAGAACTCTATCCGTCATCCTTTCCCACCTGCTCTACGACCCCTTTTGTCCCACGGCTCCTTAACCCCGTGCAACCTCAGTCTCCTCTGGGTTCTCTCCCTCCCCTTGGTCTACAACTTGCTCAGAATGTTCTCCCAATGCCACTCAGGCTGGGATCATCACGCTAACTCATTCCTTCGGTAGAAACTCCCTTAATTCTTTTCTACTCTGTGTTAATTGCAAAAGCTTTGTGCAAATAGACCGCTTCCCACCTTTCAGTACTTTCTAAGTCAGAACAGTCACTGTGGTTACTTCACTGACGCACTGAGTCCCTGTATGGATGGTACAGCGTTGACAACATAGGGAAGAAGCACAATGCAGCATCTTGGGGGACGAGATGTGACCACATTTGTTTTTTCTTTCTTCTTTTTTGCATGTGTTAATATTTCACTCACATTGCATGCGCATGGTACTCATCTTATGAATGGGATTCCTTGGATGAATGGGTGAGTTTCAACAAATACCATAAAAATAGATGTGTAGTTTTTTGCATAGGTAATGGAAGAATTAATTATATGATGAGTTTGGGGGAGAAAGAAACTAACACATAACGGTTACGTGATAAATATGTGTGACTTATCTGCCCGTGGATGATGACAATGAATCAACTGTTGTGGGCCACCTATTTCTCATTACCTCTGATAGAACTGCCCCCGTTGTCCCCAGGAAGCCATGAAAGGGTGATGGAGGAAGAGGTGGTTTTGGAAACTGTAAGCCGAGGCTGATCTGGTGGAACTAGGGAGGAAACAGTTTTTAGAAAACAAGAATTAGTTGTTCACATCTTCAGTCTTCCGTAACAGTCATTTACCAAATGGTTTTTTAACAGCCATTTATTAAATAAGTGTTTCAGGTTGACAAAATATGCAATTCACTTCTGTCAAAATATCTATTTAGTTGAAATCCTGGGCTAAAGAGATAGAACAGAATGATCCCATTATTTAAAGAAAATTCAACCACATTTCTACTTGGATTTATGTCCTCATTCCCTCACCGATTCCTTACATTTCTGAGTTGCTCACCACTAATCGAAACCTTCTGTGAACTTACTAAGGATCCATGCATTATTTTACTCTAAATTTCAGCCATGGTTCAAGTGAGAAAGATAAATGCACCCACTTGGCTTTTCAGTTCTCAGCGATATGAAAGGGGGAGAGGAAGCCTGGCTGGTGGGAAAAAAAACTGCAAAAATGTCCACTGTTTCACGTACTCCCCTGCTCAAGAGGCAACACACACACACACACACACACACACACACACACACACACACTCAGCTCTGAACTCAAAGGTGTGCCATTGAGTGGCAGCGCAAAAACTTGAATAGTCATACAAAGTTTGAAGAATACATACTTCTAATCAATGGGCCTCAGTAATATTTGGATTAGCTCTGCAGACAGCAATACTAAAGAAGTTTAGAAAGGTTATCCTAATTATATAGAAAACTTGTCATAAAATGGCCTTCTCTTTTCCTCCAAGAGAAGCCTAATATATTAACCCAGAGCCATGAAAAATGGATTCCTCTCTTTAGAGTTGTCATATAATGTCTATATCTCCAAAAATGCCCTGAAATCTCCTGACTTCAAGTTATTTGAAATTCCAGATCAATTTTGCATTATTTAAAAATATATAGTTCTTCCCCTTCCCTCCCCTCCCACTGAGGACAACATTGGTTTCATTTTTTACTTGCTGTGATTTATTAATGTGATAGCACTTAAATCCCGAGACTTTACACTTTGATTTTTTCTACTAATGAAATATCACTGTGCATCTAAATTTGAACCCAGTCAGTGGCCATCTGGGATTTTACACATGATTTTAATTTGACAGTCTTAAATTTGTCATGTACTTTTGGTGTATGATATCAAGAAAAATTACATACACTGCATTAAATACACAATTAAACATTAATGCCCTACAGAGTTTTAGTTTGTGTCCTTTTAATATACATTGCATATGACAATTCAGTTAATTAGCATTCATAAAACACCTCAGTTCAGACTTTCTTCTTGCCGGTATTTTCTGGGTTACACTTGTACATGTGTGAAGTAAATCCTGCAATTAGTGGACATCATTATGAAGGGCTTTTTCAGGGCTTCCCTGGTGGCGCAGTGGTTGAGAGTCTGCCTGCCGGGGACGCGGGTTTGTGCCCCGGTCCAGCAGGATCCCACGTGCCACGGAGCAGCTGGGCCCGGTGCCACGGAGCAGCTGGGCCCGTGAGCCATGGCCGCTGAGCCTGCACATCCGGAGCCTGTGCTCCGCAATGGGAGAGGCCACCA